TTGTTTTGCTACAGAGCACAAATTGGCAGGTTGCAAAATGGAATATTGATGAGCTGCCATGGTGAACGGTTGTACTCATGAGCTGATACAGGCACGCTGTATTCGTCAGCCTGAAGCCCAGGCTATCTGTTCATGGGATGGAAACCTGACGTACCAGGAGCTCGACGAGCTGTCCTCTAAGTTAGCCAGCAAGCTGATTGTTGCTGGTGTGAAACCTGAATCTATCGTACCTTTATACTTTGAGAAGTGTAAATGGGCTCCGGTAGCAATTCTAGCAGTGCTAAAAGCTGGAGGCGCATTTGTTCTCCTTGACCCGTCATACCCGAAGCAACGTCTTCAGAAGATATACCATGATACCAATGCCGCTCTAGTCGTTACATCCCCGCACCTTACTACCGGTGCTGAACAGTTGACAGACCAGATTATTATTGCATCTGAAGACATTTCAGCTTGGAGCATAGACGAAACCTCCTTACTATCGGTACCTGTGACACCAAAGAATGCCATGTACTCAATTTTCACTTCTGGCTCTACTGGAGAGCCAAAAGGTGTCATTATTGAACATGCAGCGTTCATCACTAGTGCCCGTGGGCACACTGCTGCACTTCGTTTGGATTCCAGTAGTAGAGTATTTCAATTTGCTTCATATACCTTCGACGCCACAGTGTGTGAGATACTCTCTGTCCTTCTTGTTGGCGGGTGCATCTGTATACCCTCGGAACAGGAGCGTTGGAACGATATATCTGGGGCTGTAGCACGACTGGGCGTCAATTGGATCTTTATGACGCCCGCATTGGCTAGGTCTCTAGATCCTTCCCGTTTTCCATCGCTGAAGACTATGGTTGTTGGAGGAGAAGCCATCACACCGGCCGAGACACATCTTTGGTGTGATAAATTACAGCTTCTACTTGCATATGGCCCCTCGGAGTGTTCGGTAATGTGTGCTATTACTGATCCCGTATCAACAACCACCGATCCTCGAAATCTCGGACGTATCTTCTCTGGCTCTTCTTGGATAGTGGATCAAAATGACCATAATAAATTGGTTCCTATAGGCTCTGTCGGTGAATTGATTATTGAAGGGCCGCTTATTGCTCGTGAATATATTAATCGCCCAGAAAAGAATGCCGAAGCGTTTATTGAAGATCCGCCATGGCTGTACAATTTCCGATGGGGGAAAGGGTCGCGATTCTATAAAACAGGCGACCTGGTACAGTATGCTGTCGATGGCACTATTCGATATGTAGGACGGAAGGATACTCAAGTGAAACTTCGAGGCCAACGACTTGAGCTTGGAGAAATTGAACATCGTTTGCGCAAGGCTTTCCGTGGTGCAAAAGATGTTATCGTTGACGTCGTTCTCTCCAGTGTCAGGAAGACCCGGATTCTAATCGGCTTTGTTTACTGTGGAAATGCAGAGATGTCATCTCCGGACAAACTATGGGATAGACCTTCCGCGGACTTTAGCCTACTTGTGCAAGAGGCAAAGAACGCCTTGCAAAAGGAGTTACCAGGGTACATGATTCCAGAGACTATCCTCCCTCTAGCAAACATTCCCATTACCAAGAACGGCAAATGTGATAGGAATCTACTGTTAAAAGAAGTCGAGGCAATGTCCGCCGAAGCTCTCCTTATGCTCGGAAATGAGACACTATCGAAGCGTATGCCATCGACTGACATTCAACGCAAACTCCAGAGCCTTGTATGTCAGGTGCTCAAGCAACCAGAAGATGGTGTCGGCATGGACGATAGCTTCTTCCATCTCGGAGGAGACTCTATCAGCGCTATGAAGCTGGTTGGCGCTGCTAGAGTTGAGAAGCTAAGAGTCACTGTTGCTGATATATTCAAGAATCCACGACTTGAAGATCTGGCGTCTGTTTTACATCACCATTCAGATGTTAAAGCTGGATTAATCGAACCATTCTCGTTATTAGGAAACTGCGAGGCCCGCGATTCTGTTATCCGGGAGGTCATCAACACGGGTGCTGTTAAAAGAGAGGACATTGAAGACATTTATCCTTGCACTCCCCTCCAGGAGGGTATGATGGCACTCAGTATCAAAATCCCTGGAGCTTATACCATGCAGCATGTTTTCCAGCTTTCAGAGTCAGTCAATACTAAGCAGCTTCAAGCTGCATGGGATATAGCCATTAGCGCCCACCCCATCCTCCGAACACGCATCTATCAAGGTGATGCTGGGAAGGCTCAGCAAGTAGTCGTTCGCGCAAAAATCCACTGGCAAGAATCAAGCAATCTAAATTCCTACCTTGATCAGGATCGAAAGCGGCCAATGAAACTCATGGAGCCCCTAATTAGACTGTCACTCATCAAAACCCAGGCCGACAGCTCTAGTCGATACATGGTATTAACACTACATCACGCACTGTATGATGGGTGGTCAGAGACCTTACTCCTGGAGGCTGTTGAAACAGCGTATCGCGGCGAAGAATTGAAGCCGACGCCATTTTCACCACTGATCAAGCATATTTCTGAGGGGCATGAAGTTGCTAGTAGTTTCTGGCGTACTCAGTTTTCTGATATCAAATCCGCTGCCTTCCCATCTTTACCATCGGAAAACTACACTGCTATCCCTAGCTCTTCGATTCAAAAATCAGTTAGCTTAGGATCTGTCCATCGGAATGGCTTCACTCTTAACTCCCAGCTGCGACTGGCCTGGGCCGCCGTCGTTTCCCAGTATACAGCCTCCGATGATGTCGTATTCGGGGTGACCGTCACCGGACGAGATGCCCAAGTGCCAGGAATTGAGACGATGACTGGCCCTGCTCTTGCAACTGTTCCTCTCCGAGTGCAGATACGCTCAAGTGTTAATGTCAGAGAGAATCTACAAGACATTCAAGATCAATTTGCACAGTCCATACCATTTGAGCAATTCGGATTGCAGAACATCAGTACCCTGGGAGAGGATGCTGCAGCAGCGTGCCGATTTAACAGTCTGCTTCTGGTTCAACCGTCGGTAGAAGATTGCAAGCTGGATATATTCAACCGTCCTGTTGCTATACCCGATCAATCAACATTTGACACTTATCCCTTGACTTTACAGTGCACTTTAGGGAAAGAAATGATTGAAATTCAGGCAATATTTGACACTAAAGTATTGCCTCATGGAACGATGGAGAGAATTCTTGATCAATTTGCACATCTTTTCGATGAGGTAGCAAAGAATTTGGATAATACCATGGGGGCAATCGATTTAATCAGCCCCGGGGATATGATAATGCTGAAAGATTGGAATGGCAAGCCGCCACGAAAGCAAGATTTGCTTACCCATGAACTTATCCAAAAGCAATGTGAACAGCAGCCTGAAGCCCAGGCAGTTTGTGCCTGGGATGGCGATCTCACGTATAGCCAATTGAACGACCTTACGGGGCGACTGGCGGCCTACTTAAACAGACTCGGGGTAGGCACAGAAATGATTATTCCGCTCTGCTTTGAAAAATCCAAATGGACAACCGTTGCAATGCTTGGAGTGATAAGGGCCGGTGCCGCATTCGTTCTCCTCGATCCATCTGCTCAGCCAGTGCAGCGGATGTCAGAAATGTGTCAACAAGCCAGCGCTAGTCTGATTCTTTCATCTCCAAAATACGCCTCGAGTCTCCAGCAGCTCAGCTACCAAGTTGTTACCATTACAGAGTCAGAGCCTATTTGGGCTACGGATATCAGTACCTGGCAGCCTCCTTCCATCAGCCCTAGTAACGCAATTTACTCCGTGTTCACCTCTGGATCTACTGGAAAACCTAAGTGCATTACTATTGAACACCTTGGGTTTGCCAGCAGCGCAGACGCAAACCGAGAGATACTGGGCCTAGGAAGCAAGACCCGCGTCCTACAGTTTTCTTCATACTCTTTTGATGTTTGTATTGAGAATAACCTGACTACCCTGGTGGCTGGTGGCTGCATATGTGTTCCTTCAGAAGCAGATTGCAAAGGGGATCTTGTAAAATCGGCCCGGGAGTTTAAGGTCACCTACGCCGATTTGACGCCCTCAGTAGCCCGAATCCTCGAGCCGGAGGATATGCCCACTGTTGAGATTGTTATCCTTGGTGGCGAGGCTATGGCGGCCGAAGATATTGCTCGCTGGTCAAAGAAAGTCCGTCTAGTCAACGCCTATGGTCCAGCTGAGTGCTCAGTCACGTCCACTATCCAGCCAGATACTGGACTTCAGGCGAGTCCGGCAAATATTGGACGCCCTTGTGCTGCGAGATGTTGGGTTGTGGATAGACATGATCAGTCAAGACTTCTTCCAGTCGGGGCCATTGGTGAACTGATAATCGAAGGCCCAATTGTTGGCCGTGGTTATTTGAACAATCCTGCGGCCTCTGAAGCGTTCATTGAGGCGCCCAAGTGGCTGTCCTCCATTCGAGAGGGTGAAAGCTACCGAATGTATAAGACTGGAGATCTTGTGCAGTACAACCTCGATGGAACCCTTACGTATATTGGAAGAAAAGACCTCCAGGTTAAGCTTAATGGACAGAGAATCGAGCTGGGAGAGGTTGAGTCTCATGTTCGACAGTGTTTCCGTACCAGTCGAGATGTCGTTGTCCAAGTGATAAGGCATAGTGAACTTGGTAACAAACCACGTCTTGTTGCATTTGTCTGGCAAGAGCATGAGCAAAACGGTACCGTGAAGGACGATGAATCATCTCTATTTGAATGCCCTAGCGACCAGTTCCGTGCGGATGTAAAGCTGGCAGAAGAAAAACTCCGTCAATCTGTTCCAAACTTCATGGTGCCAACTACCTTCATACCCCTATCCAGGCTTCCCATTGCTGCGTCCGGCAAAACAGATAGAAAACGCTTGTTAGCTGCAGCACAGGCGTTGTCCCGTGAAGATATCCAAGCATACTCCCCTATCAGAGAGAGGCGGCCAGTATCCACGGAGATGGAACGGAAGATGCAAGCAATTTGGGCCAAAGCACTGAAGATGAGCCCTGATGATATCAGTGCTGGAGATAGTTTCTTCCAGCTTGGGGGAGATTCGATTACCGCGATGAAAGTTGCAGCAGCAGCCAGAACAGAAGGTGTTTTCATTTCACTTCAGGACCTCTTCCAAAACGCACCTCTTGAGAAGCTCGCCAAAGCCGGAGAGGCCAAAGTAGACGCTGCGAACGAGCCAATTGATTGGAAGAAAGAGGTTACTGTCTGCCCAGAACTTGAGATGCCTTCGAACAAACTCCCGCCTCGCCAGTCAGGCGAGGACAAGATCGAGGTCATTCTGACCGGCTGTACCGGGCTGTTAGGCCATGAGATCCTTAAGCAGCTTGAAGCCAGTACAGAGATCTCGAAGATTCACTGTGTTGCCATACGAGCAAAGGGAACCGGAGTCGCAAGAAAAGGCAGCCTTGAATCCGAGAAGATTGTGACATACACAGGTGATCTCTCCCTGCCACGACTTGGTCTATCAAAGGAAGACGAAGAAAACATCCTTTCCCGCTGCGGAGCAATCATCCACTGTGGTGCCCTGGTTTCCTTCGTCCAGGGGTACCAGACACTCTATGGACCAAATGTAGCGTCTACCAAGGAGATTGCAAGATGGGCCATGACGCGGTTCATTCCCTATCATTTTGTCTCTACTGCTGGAGTAGGCCATCTCAGCGGCGCCGACTTCTTCGACCAGGTTTCTGTTTCAGCCTATCCGCCACCAACTGACGGCTCAGATGGGTACACTGCGTCCAAATGGGCGAGCGAAGTATACCTGGAGAATGTGAATGAGAAGTTCGGTCTGCCAGTCTACATCCACCGACCAACCAACATTCTCGGAACCGCTACGTCTCAGATCGACGTAGTTAACAATCTATTGACATACTCCCGCAAGATGAAGATTGTTCCTCGCTTCATAAACTGGTCTGGATACCTGGACCTGATCAATGTCAAATTCGTTGCTTCAGATATCATTGAAAGCGTGCTAAAGCTGAGACCTGTCTCCGCTTCTTCCTACATAGATAGATATGAACTTGAGTTCATCCATGAGGGAGGCGAGATTGTAGTGCCCATACAGCAGTTGGGCGAGTATTTGGGCAAGGAGGATGGGGGCCCAGCGTTTGAGTCAGTGCCTTTGGATGAATGGGTTTCGAGGGCGAACGAGAGTGGAATCAACCCACTGGTGAGCGAGTATCTCAAAGACTTGCGAGACCAGGAGATTGAGGTGTCCCTTCCACTGGCTAAATGCAATCGTACGATGGAGGCGTTGGCCAAGTTGAACATTGACGCTGGAGTCAACGGCACCAACGGCACCAATGGCAGCGCAAACGGTACTAATGGAGTTCATTGAATTTGCGGAAACATGATTGTACTTAGAGAATAGATTGTTATAATATTATTTCCTTAAGCCATAATCAGTCAGCCATAAGAGTCAGTCATATCAGTAATGAGGTAAAGGAATATGAAATTTTGTCCATCTATAGATCTAGTCACAGCATATATAGCGACATCTCGGGGAATAACATCATATCACATAACATCAATCATATCATAACGCATAAAGAGTTCCCACCAAAACCGCCAACCCCCAGCCAGCGAGGAATACGGAAAAATAGCAAAGGTAATAATAAGCATAGCACCTAACCATGCAACACCGAAGAGCGAGAAAAACAGTATCCAAGGAGCGGTACATCTTCGTCGTCGTCATCAGTCTGAACGACCTCTGTCTCCTTTCCTACCTCTGAGCTCGTCAGGGTTTCTCCAATAGTGTGAGAGGATGTAGCGAAGAAGTCGAAGCTATTTCGTCTCGGAGATACAGGCTGGCTGTCATCATCTGATTCTTCTTCGTCTGGATCATGGAGAAGTTCAGGAGGCTGCTGGATGCTGTCTCTGGTGTAGTGGGCGTAGTCTGTTTCTTCGTCGGGCTCTGCATCGGAGAGGGTGGAATTTAGTTCGTTGTAGAGAGTTGAAATTGAACGTTTTCTCTGGACAGCACGGCTGTGGCTATCTAGCATGAAAACAATGTCTTCTCCGCTGTCGGATCCAGAGCTGCAGCTGCAGTCTGACCCGCATTCATCGAAATCGTCATCATCGTCATCATCAAATTCGTCATAAAGGTCATCATCATCATCATCATCGCTGTCAAAATCGAAATCGGATGTAGGATTCTGGCGTTTGTCACGGATGTCGCCGTCGCCGTTATCGTTGAAGGCCGTTACAGTGTTTCCGGCATTGGCATAGCTGACGGCCTGATTGAACCAGTCTTCCTGTTCGTTCTCTGCCTCAGCAAGGTCTGCCATAAGGCCGTCTAACATGTTTGCATGTGCGGTGAGGACCCGGAGGTCTCTATCCGGCCGCCGAGCAGCGTTCATCAGCTTGTGGCGGGCCACCTGGGCGAGAAAGTAGGTCTGGGAGAGGCTCATGTTGCTCTGTTGTCTTCTGCTCGTCGATGGCGATGGTGATGATGGAAGAAAAGAAGGAGGACGAGAAGGGAGACGAGAGGGCCTGACGGCGGCCGCCATGGTGATATCTCCCCCGGTGTTCATGCCGGATTGACTTTCTGACTCAAAATGGCGGAATAGGCTGATAAGATAACTAAAGCAGAGCCAGACCGATAGGCTGTAGATCGTAGATTGCGTTATCGGCGGTGCATTCACCCGCGGTTCATTCGCTCGGGAGCCAATAGTGAGCCAATAGAACAGTGATGGGGAGCGGCGTAAGAGGGAGAGTTCAGGGGATTTAGGTTGATTCCCAGGCTATCGAAGGGCGGGAGATCAGAACGCAGTCAAGTTAAGAAGAAGTGGCAAGGAAGGAAACTCGAAGATATACCCAGCAGGAACAGCGAGAAGCCGCCTTTTAAGGAGCGCCGCCAGCGACCTCTGGCAAACAGGGTGTGCAGGATGTGCTACCGGGTTCCTTTGCCCTGCTCCGTCCATCCATCCGCGTTATGATGCAATGAGTTCGCGGCAGAAGCAAGAAAATCCTGGTCGCCAAGCGCGCAGCCGACTCGCAAGCCGGCAGATGCAAGCTTAGTCACGGCGACGAACTATAACTGCGCTGTTATAGTTTGGTCGGCCGTCGGTTGTTGAAGATGTTAGGTTGAAGCTGTTGAGGCTGTTGAGTGAAGCTGAAGTCGCGAAGTCGTGAAGTCGAAGAAGTTGATGAAGACGACGATGGCGGGTGACTAAGCGCCGGCTCGACGTCGACGTCGCTGCTGCGAACATGACATCGACACAGCATCTACAGCAGATACAACAGCTACAGCAGATACAACAGCTACGAATTGACGAGATAATGATACCCAGAGATGACATGGCCACTACCTGGCTGACTGCGCGAGATACCCACCGTATCATCGATATCCCGCTTGATAGCCTTGAACGGCCGAGGTTTAATTACAGGATCAACGGGCAGCAGCATGAACCGACACTCTAGACTCAAGGACTTTGGCCAGTGAGGATGCTGAAGTGCGGGTTAACCGTGTCGACGATTGCCAGATGACTCTCCATACCAGTGTAACTCCCGATGCGATCCAAAGTTAGATCTTCTCTGGGAGAAGAAGGCCGCTCTGGTACGCGTCTGTGGCACTGCTCATTCCTGGAAACCTATCTCAATCACGCTTCTAGCTCGCGGTGCCATCCATGAAGGAAGCCTCGGATAGATACTGACTGGCGCGCTGACGGCAGCAAATTTGCCTCGATAACATTCCGATGACTCGGTCAACTGGATGCGGAGCGCGGTTCAGTGGACTCCAGAAGCTTATACCACGGTTGGATGATCTAGAGGTGGACATATTTGGGCAGCAGATTTGATAGCAAAGTCTTTCCTCACTATCACTGGCTCGGTGGCAGTGGGTCACCTCCAGCCTTTGATTATGAGCGGAGCATCCGTTTTGTTCGACTTATGTAGCTCGACGGAGCTACCTGGTTTCGGAGTATTCTCTATTCTAGGTTGACGACTATGGGAGCTCCCGTAATCTGCTTTCTACAGATCAAGTTCCGAGTCAAGTTAGAAGAACACCAACCACTAATATCGCACCACCCAGAGACAGAAAAGAAAGGAAAAAGAAATGCTGCTATCACAGCTAATTTTCCTATCCATGGCTGCTACGCGCAGCCCCGGCTGATCTGAACCACCCAACCCACCCAGACCCAGCCTCGCGCGGATGACGGGCCTACCACAGCATCCAAACCTTCCAATAGCCAACTCACCTCAAACCTGACTGCGCAAGCTCCCTTTCCCCCTTCTTGGTTCCACAAACTTGCCAACAAAAAAAGACAGAAAAAAGGACGAAAAAAAAAAATCGACCAAGAGATGACCTGCTTAGTCATGTTTACTTTTTACTAAGCAAAATAAGCTTAAATGGATGACGTCATCCCGTGACTTGCGGCTCTCGAAGAAAACAAAAAGGAAAAGGAAAACACTTTTGATATTTTCCAGTTTGCTGATGACCTTGCCACAGAGTTAACAAGTTGATGGGTGGTTGATTGATGGGTGGGGGGGTTCTCTGGACTCTGGTCTGGTTTACAATGGTGTGGCTTAGCTGTAGGTGGAAGACAGGATCAGCTATTCACAGGCCATTACGAGAGGGAACCAATTGGACATCGCCATCGCAGTTTGGTCTTTCAGAGTGCAGTTCTGGATACGGGAGAAAAAGAGACGAAAAAAAGACGCTAAAATTACATGCAGCTGCGGGACTAGCCCAATCTCAAAGAAAAGCCAGCTCCAGCCTCTGTCGAGCCAGAGTCGCCTCCTCCAAAAACATTCGCAAAGTCCAGCCGCGGCGCCTCTTCCCCCCTCTTTGGCGCCTCAGGAGTGTCACGTTTGCGCCTCTTCTCCAAATTCGCCTTGGATGGGAAGGTAGGGAACATCTCCTTGGGCTTCGGTTTGGGATCTTCGCGGAAGTATGGGTGTGACAGACATGATTTTGCTGTTGGTCTGGCTGCTGGGTTGAGAGCTAGCAGGTGAGAGAGCAGACTGAGGCCCGCTGAAGTAAGATAGGGAAACTTTGAGCGTGGTAGAAGCGGAACGGACGGGCCAGATAAGTCGGAAGAAGAAGAAGACGGTGGGAGACGAAGGGATTTGGCGTTGGGAAGGGAGCGGAAGCCTGGCCATGTCTGGGACGTCGGTGGACCGGTGAGGGCGAATATCTATCTGTGTCAGCAGGCAACTTCAACTGAACGAGACGAGGCAAAGACGGTGAGAAAGGGGTGTAGGAGGAATACCTCTGATAGCTGAGCTACTTCGTTCTTGCCACGAAGCAGAGGCTCCTTGGTCAACAGCTCCCCGAATATACAGCCAATACTCCACATATCAACCTCGGTTCCGTACTTGTCTGCTCCCAACAGCAGCTCGGGCGCCCGATACCACAGCGTAACAACCAGCTGGGTCAACTTCGGTGGCGGATCGCCGTAATACCTCGCCATTCCGAAGTCAGCCAGCTTGACCTCCCCACGGTTATTCATAAGTAGATTCGAAGTCTTCAGATCCCGATGCATGATCCAATGCGAGTGCAGAAACTCGGCCGCGCCTAGAACCTGAAGCAGGACCGTTTTCGTCTCGGAGGGCAAGAAGGGCTCCCTCATCTCGTCAAGTAGGCTCTTGAGGTCGTGTTCGATGAAATCCATGACCAGGAAAACGCTGCGGGAAGAAAGGCCGAGTAAGGACAGACAAGGAGGTTAATGACCATCAATGTATCTGGGCTTTTCACCGACAAGACATAAGGAAAGGGGCATAGCTTACTCGTCCATTGTGTCGCCCATGACCACTTCACGCAGCTGGATGATGTGCGGGTGTCGCGAGGCGAGCAGGGTCTGTATCTCGCGCAGGCCGGTGACAGGGAACCCATCGTACGCGTTCTCCATCTTGAGCTTCTTGATAGCCACGATCTGGCCTGTAGCCGTCTCTCTGGCCCTCGAAACCCAGCCGTAGGACCCTTCTTCGATCGCATTCAGGTTTTCGAAGTTGTCGATGTGTCTGCAGGGGCCCCATTCCGGTGCTGGGAACTGGAGCAGCCTTGCCGGCGGTGCAGTGCTGGCAGCTTCGGGGGCTTCGTTCGACAGCCGCCGTCGTTTCGTAGGCGGTTCACTTCCATTCTCTGCTCTATCTGGCTGTTTATCACTGGTATCTATCGGGTGTTGTTGTTGCTGTTGCTGTTGTTGTCTCTGTTCAAGGAGTCGCTGTCTCTCTGCCTTTGCGCGCTTCTTCGCTTCTTTCTCTAGCTTGCGCCGCTGGACTTCAGCCTCTGTCGCTGGGTTATCGTCTGCCCATCGAGATTTAGCCGGAGCTGACATCTTCGCTGTCTTGTCTTCGCTTCTTTCACCCCGACCTTCATTTTCCTTAAGCCGTAGGTCGAGTCTCTCGAGATGTCGATGCCCGGACTTAGGATGTTCCGCCGTGACGATTGAAGCCGGCCGCGAGCCCCTCGGCAGCGTCTGATATTAATACTATGACGATGACATTGACCTCTACATACATTACTAGAGACGGGTAGAGTGATGGAGTGATATAAGAGATAGACTGTTATTTTTACGGCCAGAGAGAGAGAGACGACACCATGATCGAGCCATTTCAAGTACGGTTGGAAGCCCCTCCCTAGATATCAAATGAAGGCAGCTAACATTGACAACTATAGGCAACATTTGCGGTGCCCTTGACGTGCGAGAGCTGCATCAAGGACGTCTCTAAGCCGCTGTACGAGCTGGCCGGTTAGTCTATAACTTTTAGCTGCCTGTGAGTTTAGTTGGTAGTGGAAGGCCAAGTCGTTGACATCTACGGAAAAGGCATAAAAAAGGTCGATGCCAACTTAGCAGACCAGTTGATCATGGTCGAAGGCACTGCTGCGCCCTCTGCCATAGTGGCTGCGATCCAGGGCACCGGCCGAGACGCCATTCTACGCGGCAGCGGGACATCTAACAGTACGTCTACGAAGCCGAACTAGTTCATGTGAGAAAAGGATACAGACAGACAGCGTATACTGACTGTATAAGACGCCTCGGTGTGCATCCTAGAGACACACAGAGAGGACGTTGCAAACAAGATCCGGGGCCTGGTGCGCATGGTGCAAGTCTCGGGGAATCTGACTATATTCGATCTGACGATCAACGGGCTCTCGCCAGGCAGATACTGGGCCACCATTCGTGAGACGGGAGACATATCCCGCGGACCTGAGTCCACCGGTGGAGTCTGGGAGGCCGTCAAAGAACTGAAAGAGCAGCAGCAACAAAGTAACCATAACGACGATAAAAGCCGCAAAGACAGTGAACCCCGGGGAGTGGTGGGCAGCGTGGACGTGGACGAGCACGGCAAAGGCAGCGTCTTCCTGGACCGGCCGATAGCCGTCTGGGAGATGATCGGACGCAGCATGGTGGTATCACGGCAGCGCGAGGGACCCTTCAGCGTCGACGACGAGGACACCATCGTCGGGGTCGTTGCTCGCAGCGCCGGCGTCTGGGACAACGAGAAGATGGTGTGTTCGTGCTCGGGCAAGAATGTCTGGGAGGAGCGCAGGGAGCAGCTGTCCAGGGGCATTGTCTGAGCCGAGACTCCTGCGCGAGATGCCTCCGGTACCTGCAGCGGCTACTGTGACTTGTGTAACGAACGCACTCCTTCGCTTTCACTGCGGCCTGAGGGATATAAGAAGATACAAAATATCGCACCTAGCGACGGCTGCCAAAAATATCACCCCGTATCATATCACCAACTAGTTACCAGCACCACCAACAGCCAGCATTGAATAATCTTTTCTTTGTAGTCGGTGGCAGCGGCCGTGATTCGCTGTCTTGTAACCGCCGGCCTCAGCTTGGCTGCATCTTCGCCCGGGAGTGACATCTAGAGTGACAAAGTGACATAGTGACATCTTCACGCCGCATCTGGATCTCGCTGCAAGGAGCTGGTTAGTTGGCAGTGAATGCTCGAGGCTGACTGAGTACAGCCAGTTGGTGTCTCATCCAGCAGCCGTCGACATTCTATAAGAAGCCCGAAAGGCCCGTCCTAAGCGCCCGCCGTCCTCATCCTGCATCGCCACGAGCAAGCCAGCAGGAAAAACGCTGCAGCGCATCCCTGGCCATCACACCCGGTCACAGTCTTGTCGCTGCTGGGCGCGCCACCCGCCATCGGTCCAGCCGTCAGTTCATGCTCCCGGTCCATAATTCGCTAAGGGAGGGAGACGATACGAGTCCGATAACTATATCACTGCTAAGCGCCCGCCTTTGAGCTGCCTGAGCCCGCCGTCGCTGCGTTCGTTGCATTCCGGACACCGTCAATCGCCATGTCGTTGAAGCAGGTAGGTGGATATGAAGCAGGAGAATAGGAACAAGAAGAAGAAGCCAGAGACTGACGGTGAATGATTCACAGGAAATCGAGACCTGGGTTCAGGCACTGGCTCATTACGATAACAACGAGTTCGAAGATGCCATCGCCGTCTTTGCTGGCATCGCAGACACATCCAAGATCCTCTTCAACTGCGGCGTCATCTACGCTACGCTGGGCGAGCATGTCAAAGCAGTACGTCTTCTAGCTGGTCATTTACTACGGGATCGGCCGGATAGGATAACTAGCTAACTGGCGGGAACAGGTGGACTGCTACCAGCGAGCCATCGCCCTGGACAAGTACCTCGCCATCGCGTACTTCCAGCAGGGCGTGTCGAACTTCCTCATCGGCGACTTCGAAGAGGCCCTCGCCAACTTCAACGATACCCTGCTGTACCTGCGAGGCAACACGACGATAGACTACGAGCAGCTCGGCCTCAAGTACAAGCTCTACTCGTGCGAGGTCCTCTTCAACCGCGGGCTGTGCTATATCTACTTGCAGGAGGTCGAGTCGGGCATGAACGATCTGACCTACGCTGCAAAGGAAAAGGCAAAGCCAGACCACGATGTCATCGATGAAGCCATTGCGGAGACTGCCGAGGTGAGTCTTTCTTGTTCTCCTTCATTTACTATAGTAAAGGCAGTTCTAAAGGGTTGTCTAGGGATATACGGTGTTCTCCATACCAGTTGGTGTGATATATCGACCGAGCGAGGCCAAGGTCAAGAATCTCAAGACCAAGGAATATCTCGGCAAAGCGAGGCTGGTGGCTGCGTCTGATAGGGCCAACACCTTCACTGGCTTCCAGGGTCATGAGACAAAGGTGCCTGTCTTTGAAAGCTCCCGGGACGACCGGCCGCCTGAGAACATCTCATACGGGGCTACCAACCTCGTGCAGAAGAACATCGGAGCCAGGAGCAGACAGCAGTCTGAACCGCCCATCAGCAGAAATGCGTTCCCTCCAACACCACCTCCAGACGAGAAGGCTGCCTCCTCTCTCGTACCTGGTAACGGATCTACCGGCAGCTTGGCCCGCAAACAGTCCCTGACCAGGGCAACTCGGCCCCCAGTTCTAGAGTTGGGACGAACGTCCTCTGAACAGCCACAGTCCATTGGCGGATCAACAGTGGTAGACAACCAGCCAACAAAAGTCCAACAGGAAAAACCCCGGGTTGGCACCATCCGTACAGCCTCTGAGCCACGGGGGCCAGCCTCGAGACTCTCAGCCATCCGCTACGGCCCTCCTCCAAACGGCAAGCTGCTCTTCCGCGAGACCACCGGCCAACATCGACGACCCATGTCCAACATTTCCCCCTTGTCAGAGGAGCCACAGGCCTACTATACCATGTACGCCGCCGGACCAGGGCCAGGCTACACCACCGAAAACGGCCACACCCGACTCCCTGAATACATCAACGAGGAAGGCTACGAGTCCGGGACCCCCGACGAAGACTCAGGAGACGGCATCCAGTTTGAGATGGTCGGTGCCCATCCACCCCAACACCAACTCTCCAGCCGCCGCCGCCACTCCTCCCGCCGTCCCGAAATCAAAAAGATCCGCGTCAAGGTCCATGCCGACTCAGACACGCGCTTTATCATGATCACTCCCACTACAGAATACGAAGAGTTCGAAAACAAGATCCGTGAAAAGTTCGGGTTCAAAGGTAACCTAAAGATTAAAATGCAGGACGACGGGGATATGGTCACCCTTGCAGACCAGGATGACCTCGACATGCTCGTGGCTGCGGCCAAGCAGGCGGCTCGAAAGGAGAACAATGATATGGGCAAGACGGAGGTAAGGGTCTCGTGCATTCCGCCTGTTAGCTTTGCATTTGACTAGCTAACCTGTCATTCTTCCTTCTTCTCTCTCCCTCTCAGATCTGGGTTATTGAGATCCTGTGATAAAAAAAATGGTCCCTCTTCCCTTTGTTCTACTGGTAAACCAGTTAATTTTGATAGATGGCGTTTTTGGGAGACTTGAGCTTTGCTTTGCTTTGCGTTTGGTAGGCTTAAAGCTGGCGGGTTAGCATGGAGTTTTTGGTTATGTCCATAATTGGTAGCTTACGATTGATGATATCTTTTCCTCTCTACGCCGTCTTATACATCTATCTCATCTCTCCATCATCTTCTGGGTCTGAGCCTCTTTTATGCATTAGTTCTTATATATCGCCGTCGCCGTCGCTCTTCTTCTTGTCTGCTTCACTTGTATATGATGACTAAGCGCGTCTAGCAAAGAGAACGTCTACAACATCTACAGACGCTGCATAATTCAATTAACAGAGCGAAGAGACGGCGAGCAATCGAAGATGACGGACCTTACGCCAGCAGTCAATGATCTGCTCAGGGCTCGCGGCAGCTCTCTCCTCTCCAGCGTGACGAGCAGTCCCTCCGACACGCAGGTGGACGAGTTCCTCAAGGAGGCTCATAGAATCGTACGTGGCCATCCCACCCTCCAATGCCAGATACACCCACTAAACAAGCAGTAGAACGTCCACATAGCATCTCTCCTGGCATATCTCAAGTCTATACGAACAGTGTACCTGTCCACGGCACCCGCCAGGCCATCTGGCCGCACACAAAGCGCAGACTTCAACCCGCTCAACCCGTCGTCAAGCTCGATATCAACACACCTAACCGACCCCGAGCGAGACTCGATCGATTCCTCCACTGCATCCTTACTGCAAGATCTATCTCGCTCCATAGGGAACCTGGCGTCAGCCGAATCGCTACGTGCCCAGACCCAGGCATCTGTGTTGCGCAAGAAGTACGGCCATGGCAAACTAAACGAGCGGCTATGGCAGTGGGCTGGAGGCGGAGGAGTCGTGGACGTACCTCGTTCATCTGAGCAGGAAGAAGCAGAGGATACGGAGAAGAATGTCGTCGGCATACGCGAGAGTGTTCTTTGGTTTCTTAGGCGGGGCCTAGAGTGTGCCGCGGAGGTGCAGAGGGAGATGGTCGAGAAGAGGATCGAGAGAATCCGAGAGAAGGAGAAGAGTGTGCTGTATAAGGCTAAAGCAGGCCAGATGCCGATACACACGCAGCCTAATGGTGGTAGTGGAATGGGCGGTGGGAGCGGACGATACGACGGTGGAGATGAAGATACGTTACGCGGGCGAGATATTTCTATCGACGAGAAGGAGGCCGCGGCTATTGAATCGCAGCTTTCGCCGGAGCAGCTGCAGCTGTTTGCGCAGGAGAACGACGGCATGCTGAAGTATTATGAAGACACCCTCGGCAAGGTCCAGTACGTACATTATATTGCATCTCTAACCCTTGTTTGTGCGTGGATAGTACCTGCTAACATGAAGAAGAAACGCGGAGAAGTCGCTGCTGGAGATATCCTCGCTGCAACAGACGCTGGTGGCTCATCTGGCTACGCAGGAAGACTATATCAACCAGCTTGTGCGTGATGCCGACTCGACTCACGCCAACGTCGGACGAGGCAACAAGGAGCTGAAGAGAGCGAGCGAGCGACGCAGCGAGGCCCAGATGGTCTTCTGGGCTACCGTCGTCCTTTGCGTCTGGCTGATCTTGTGGGATGCCATTTTCTAGTCCAAATAGCTGGCTTGCGCCTGCCTACGGTCGAACCCAGCGCCTCCTCGGCTTTATTATGGGCAACTTGATGTCAACAAATATAGCATACTACGCACTACTCTGTACGCCAAAGAACATCGCATCATCTACTTCGTATAGACCTACTACTTGTGCTAGATTAAAGACGGCAAGATGGACATCGAGTCGGGTAACGAGCCAGAAATCCCGGCTGCGGATCCCCAAGACGGAGACAAGGCCAGCTCCGACTCAGTGTTACAGATCGAGGCTCAACCCCAGACTGAACCCCAGACTACTGCTACTACGGCTACGGCTACGGCTACGACGCAGCCCTTTACCGCCGGCTGGCTGCTTGTCTTTTCTCCACTGAAAGTAAGGCTCAACCCGTCCGAGGGCTGGACCTTTACCGGCGAACTGCCGCCTCTTGCCCCGGACGACGGCTGGCCCAGCCCGCCCAACTCGAAGACCTACGTGGGCATCACCGACGACCAGACGCCAGGAGCAATCATCTACCCTAACCAGCCGGTGTTTCTGTCCTTCGACTCCGGCCAGCAGCACAAGTACCGGCTGCGCAACAAGCAAGGGCTGCACGTCTCAGAGGAGAACGTAGTGTTTGGCCCGCCGTACCAGACGGTTACGGCGCGCACGGCGGTAGCCCTGATGACGGCGTACTCTGTTAGATTGTGGAGGGAGCGGCAGGGGGATCTGAAACGTGGAGAGTATCTTAAATGGGAGAGCAAGCGACTGCGCTGGGAGGCCAAGTTCCTGGAGCGCGAGTGGTTCATCAGGGGCAACAGGGAGATATTCCCGCCAGGCACCACCAGCGGCGACGTCTTTAACGCCATCCGCGCGCTGGAGGAGATGCCGACTGTCTATCCGCTTCCCAACTAGACTATCCTATACATGATTTCTCTTCTTCCTCTGCTTCTTCTGCGTCTTCTCTGTATATCTATATAAAACACGTGACGTAGATATGCTCAAAAGGGCAAAAAGCGACGTCGAGGATCGAAAAGACGATGCGAAACGCAGCAAAAACACGACGAGACGAGCTGAAACGCCGACTGAACGCCCATCGGCCTCCCGTCCAATCGATCTCGGATCCCCAGGGCGCTCCCGAGACTCCTTCGAGAACGCATGCTTCGGCTCTCCAGCCTGTCCAGGCACCCTGGGACGGGCCAAACTGGATCCCAACACGAACCGCTCGATCCCTGCCTGCAAGGCCGGAGCAAGACACGAATAAAGACGACGAAAAGGAAGACGAAAATGAAGGAGAGTTAGGATGGTGGAAGAGGTCGGGCTTCGCGGGTGCGCCCAGTCAGGATGATTATCGCAAGGTCATCGGGCAGACAGGAACAGGGCTGTGCAGCCAGACCAGACCAGACAGTGTCTCTCCCTCTCTCTCAGCTCTCAGCCAGCCCGGCGCCCTCCAACGAACGAACAGGAACAGCAGCAAAGGAAGTGTCAGCGAGAAGGCCTAGAAGCAGATGAAACGGAAGAGAACGCCGCTTTTCTTTTTCTCTGCGCTTTGCTTCCTTTTCCCCTGGTACCTCTGGCGATGTAACTACCGCTATCCCGGTCGAGCATGGGACGACCTGCAGGAGCGGCTATGGGCGCTGAACACGCGAGAGCATGAGACAGAGCAAGACGAAGAAGATATATAACTCATTCCTCCATCTCTTAGAGGACTCTTCTTCTTCTCTTCTCTTCGTCTCGCCGTCTCTTCGTCTCTACCAAACAACAGCAGCCCTCGGAGTTAGCGGCGGGAAGACCCTCGGATCCACCTCCGTCTTTCTTGCTCTGCAATTCACTGCGACTTTCGCCTTCTTCGTTTCTTTTGCCTGTCACACTCGAGACCTGCCACTGCTTGCTTGCTCTCCTGCGTCTGCACTACATATACAGCTTCCCCTGCTTCCTCTGGCTTTTGTTTTCCTACAAGATGGCGCCCGCTGCTGTTTCGACCACCGCCCGCGACCGTCTGGATACTGTCTCACGCCACATCATGACGCCCAGCTTCTTCACCCCCTCGGCTGTGCCCAAGGCACCGGAAGACCCTCTGTTTGGTCTCGCCGCTGCCTGCAGAGCTGATACTTCCGACAAGAAGATAGATCTCGGCATCGGTGCCTACAGAGACTCTGATGCGAAGCCATGGGTGCTCCCCGTCGTCAAGAAGGTCAGTCAAGTTGATACAGTTGCACATGCAGACACATGCTAATACTGTCACAGGCCGACCGGATGCTGCGAGATGACCCCAAGCTCAACCACGAATACCTTCCTATTGCCGGCCTAAAGGACTTCACCACTGCTGCCCAGAAGCTCATCCTCGGCGAGAACTCTCCTGCCATCAGAGAGAACAGAGTGAGTCACCCAGGCATACCTCGAGTCACTTCTACATGGACAACACTAACAGGAACATAGGTCGTCACCTTCCAGACAATCTCAGGCACCGGTGCCGTCCATCTCGGAGGCCTGTTCATCTCCAAGTTCTTCCCATCCTCTCCCAAGCCCACCATCTACCTCTCCAACCCAACATGGCCCAACCACCCCCAGATCTTCAAGACCGTCCACCTCGAGTCGGCCTACTACCCATACTTCAACCCGGCCAACAAGGGCCTCAACCTTGAGGGCATGCTCAAGACCATCCGCGCGGCTCCTTCCGGCTCCGTCATCCTCCTTCACCCATGCGCCCACAATCCCACCGGCGTAGATCCCACCCAGCACCAGTGGAAGCAGATCGCTACCGTCATGCGTGAACGCAACCACTTCCCCTTCTTCGACTGCGCCTACCAGGGCTTCGCGTCCGGTGACCTCTCCCGTGACTCCTGGGCCGTCCGCTACTTCATCTCCGAGGGCTTCGAGATGTGCGTCTCCCAGTCCTTCGCCAAAAACTTCGGCCTCTACGGCGAGCGTGCTGGTGCCTTCCACTTCATCACTGCTCCCGGACCAAATGCCGCCGAGGCCCTCACCAACGTTGCCTCCCAGCTCGCTATCCTGCAGCGCTCCGAGATCTCCAACCCCCCAGCCTACGGTGCTCGAATTGCCTCCCTCATCCTCAATGATCCCACCCTGTTCAAGGAGTGGGAGGAGGACCTCCGCACCATGTCCGGCCGTATCGTCGAGATGAGACAGGGTGTCCGAGAACGTCTCGAGGAGAAGGGCACCCCAGGCACCTGGGACCACATCACCAACCAGATTGGCATGTTCAGCTTCACTGGCCTCACCGAGGAGCAGGTCCAGATCCTCCGTGAGAAGTGGCACATCTACATGGTACGTCCTTTACCCAATATTCATATTCTTATCTTACCACCACATACTAACATCTCTCTAGACCAAGAACGGCCGTATTTCCATGGCTGGCCTCAACGTCCATAACATCGACTACTTTGCCGAGGCAGTCGATGCCGTCGTTAGAGAAACTACCAAATAGACTTACACTCCATCTCTACTATCTCCTACCCCTATCAACTAGCCCGCTGGTCGCATGTACAAAACCCTTACCACCCAAATAATTTCGGACATAAAGTTTATTCCCAATTCCCTTGTATCTACGTATCTCTCTCTCTTCATCTCGTTTTTTTCATCTTTCTTCGGGGGGGCATTGGAAAAGAAAATCAACTAAAAAGAGCACCACCACAACCACCGGTTAGTTACTACACTCGCTAGTCGGTTACTTATTTCATGATATGATATGAACTTTCTATCTACTCAATCCAATCCATCGTGTACTACTTACCGCATACCCCAATCAATCATCAATCCACGATCTCAATTGACCTCCACATCATTTGTTCATCAGTTTCATATGCCTGCACTTTAGTTCGTATCATATCGGTCTCGGCGCACCCACGCCCTGCCGGCTATATATTACGCACCTTACGCCACTAACTAGTGATTTAGTTCGCTGCAAAGTTCGATCATTGCTCAACGGCGTTTCAGGGGTCAACGCATAGACTCGCATATATGCACACTTTTTGGGCCCTGGTCGTTACATACATAGTTAGGTGGTTACGTGTTTGGTTTGGTTTGGTATCAACAGGCATCTTCATCGCCGATACGAGATAGATCAAGCAATTATTTGATAGATAGATAGGAACACCTTGTTTATATTCTATAACACACGGCATATTACTAGCAACCAAACATCCATTATCCATTGTAGCTCCTGTACTAGCACTGTCAGAGTCCAAGGAACTCCAGGAACCAACGTTCAATAACTAAGAACAGGTCCAATCTCGATGTTATGTCCAGCCGGCCGCGAGTATGGCCGCGACGCGATGTGCCGAGCGCGGTTTCTCGTTGTCGGATTTCATATCTATTTCATCGAGAAAGACTTCGGGAACAATGTATGGTGGTATAGTTCATGTCTATATCAAAAGAGACCAACATGATGTGGTCAGGTCGACCCCCTTTGAGGACAATGGCTCTCCATCATTTAATGCACTATGAGTCGAAGGTCAATGTTTATATGACCTGGCACATTCATCCCTTCTCTATAGCCTTTCGTTATAAATCTTCATGTCGATTATATCAAGGTCATCAGCGCGGTTCTGAGAGATGGCTCAACTTGCGGTGCTGAAAGTGATGGCGTTAGTGACGGCAGCACAAGCGTATCCCATAGTTAACGTCATTGGACTCTTCATCATAGCAAGGCATTTCTCCTCCTTTTTAGCAACCAATAGCTTCACAAGATAGCATAGCTTGGGGGATGACCGGGCCATATATAGCGCTAACTCTGCTCAAAAAGCTGGGGGCACGGCGCATATTTCTCGAGTCGATTTCGCATAGTAAAAGGACGCCCCCATATCCCCAAACTATCATTACCACCGACGTACTTCAGCCGCGAGTATGTTAAAGACACTGACACTATAAAAGAAAAGGTCTTTTTCGTCGAAATAGGGCCTTATCCTATTGTGGCGGGTATAGTTAAGGCAGTCCTTGGAACATTAGTCACCTCTTTGCCTACGCCCCAGCGCAGCCGTGGTGACTTGAAAGTTGTAACCGAATTGCTCGTTGTCCTTTATTTCGCTGGCAGAGGTGTCCGCCATGAAGAGTCGTTAGTTTTCTATTGTCTTCGTCGTAAAGGACAAATTGGGCGTATCTTCCAACTGCCACAATCCATCCTTATTGCAATTATGAGCCTAGTAAAATCCTAGCTCCCCTTTAACGATCTTCGTGTCTAAGGCCAATGCCGTTAATTGGGATATGTGATCCTCCGTCAACTTTCTGAGGAACGGAGGCAAGTTAGAGACCGGGATAGGACCAATGTCTCCTCTAAACGGGATCCAGTCTTCGTGCGCCAACCTAGGAGGCCCGTCCATATAGTCTACCGACGGGATAGTGATAGTGGCCCCGGGCTCTTCTAGGCCTTAACATTGGTTAGGCCCGTAGAAATACCGCCGTAACAGGGTCAAGGCCCCTTGCTTGCCCCAGTGGCCATTACGATCATGGGCTTCTCTTAAAGTGGCAAGAACTTGGGATTCAAGAACACAAGCCAAGGACAGGTCAATGTAGCCTTGCATAGTAGTCCGCCGAACATGTTGGGCCACAAGGGAAAAAAGGCCTGATGCCCCAAGGTATCCTTGGGTAATGTGTGCGAGACGTAGCTAAAGTGGAATATCCTAACACCCACTTTGAAAGGGTGGATAGATAGATACTACCTGATCTTTGGCTCTCCTCTCCCCTTTCCAGGGGGCTTGCCTGTACCACAAAGAATTGTATCTCGTGGTATTTAGTGCCTTGCTGGATAAATTGGAGAGCTGGGGCTTGTGGTGGTGGCGTTGTTGCTGCTGATAGTTAACTAACGCACTCGATATATCTTCAAGTCAATCACCTGAGTTGCGAATTTATGCACAAGGATTCAACCTGAGGAACCTCGTTCGCACACTTCGACGGTGATTGATTGTTTTGCGGAGTAGAAATAAATCGTGTATTTTTGGATAGCGATAACTATCAAGTGTATCGCAAATGTAGGCGATGTCGAGATGGATTTTAATCCTCGTTCTGCCCTAGCAATGAGTGCATCAGGGGTTTTTATAGTGCATTCAACTGTTGGTTTGTCGAATCGAAGAGTTTTTAGTCTGGAGACGAGTAGCCAGGGATTTCCTGTCTTATGCCAATAGCTCTTCTAGTAGATCGCAAGCGCCGTCAGAGCTCCGTCGACTGCCTTACTATATGTGGTAATGTCCTTATTTGAATTCATTATTCAACTTTGGTATTCAGCCACTTATCGATCTGCTTCACGCGATGGAGGCGAAGCACGGAGGATACAATGGTTGAGGTAATAGTCCTTAAGATGCCTGTGCCGTTGCTATCGTTGTAGTCCGTGTATAGCCCAAGATGACAAGATGGTAACTGGTCATCTGCTCCGAGGTATCCCGTAAAATATCTGCAGTATTTTTCGTAGCCCAGAGGAGGTATAAATATCTCCTCAACTCCATGACCTGGTCAAATACAGCCATATCCGCCCTCCCTGCGGCGCTAAGTCGGTTGCAAGATTGTTTGAGAACTCATTTTTCCGCGCGTTTCGAAAGTTCCAGGCCACTATCTTGTGGGGGGTATTACGCATAGTAATGATATGGAGGGCTAAAGTTAGGTAAAGTCCTCCCTGATTATAAGAGATGGATATGACCCTTTATATAACGCCTTGTTACGTAGACACCTAGTTATCTGCAAGGCGCAGCCGTGTCACCCGTAATACAGAGCCCATAACGCCCTTAAGATAAGGAAGCTGCGATTCGATTTCCTTGCTTGGTGAGCCCAACCTTCTCGGTAACAATCATATCCAGAAGAGTACCGTGAGTGATGCGGAGCCTTATCTGGTGGCTGGTAGGTAGTATCCACCATTTAGATGTAAAGGTGGCAGGATAAGGTGTACCGGCCGCTCCATGAACTGCATCTGATTCCGATGCGGCGTGGAGACTTGACAAATTCTCAGTAGCTTTACCAAATGCCTTCCTAGTACTGACGTTATGGTCTTTGTATATCTCGAGAAACTCCTCACAAAAGGTTGTTTAATAGAAGCTGCATCCTGTGTTGCCCCGCTGCTACCCTTAACGGCAGTATACATGCTATCGCACTCTCGGAGGATTGATTTCACGAGGGAGATAGAACAGCATACTCACAAGCAGTAGATCAACTTTGCTACCACAGGGAGCAGGTCTGCCATTTTGGCCGAATGGTAAGATTTGGTATCTGTATGCCAACCAATGAGTAGAGGATGATTCGGAAGCAATGATTGGGTAGCTGGCGGAATTCGACAGTTCCGCATCCGCCTTCGCGGGCATTCCTAAAATTCCAGGATATTATTTTGCTTGGGGATATCTCATTCCAAAGGATCTCCTTGCTCGGAAAGCTGTCTATCCACGGAAATAGGGCCGGGACCAACTGTTTGTTGAAACCAAGGACAGCTCAACAGCAGTGCATAAGTTCTGCATGGGCGCTATTCACGGGCGGAGGGCCGTCACCCCTATCCGCGGTTCTGCTGTAGGGCCCCTAGGGCCGCCATCCTCCGTCAGGGATCCTCGCCCTCTTATGTGTGGGATGTGCCAACCCTTAAATATGCAGCGAAAGTATTGTTGGCCGAGTTATTTGTTGAGCAAATGCATCGACTCTGATGATATATCCAGATGCAGCGAGTGTATCCTAGCGTGAATTAGGGTTGAATACATGATTATACCTGTTGACCTGTCATAGTGGCATACCTTCATGCTGAGTCTATGCTCATCCGCTATCTCCTGGTCGCCTGGATTCGGGCTAAGATCGGATTCTTCAGCTTCATGCTTTACAAAACCGTTTCTTGTATTATTCGGGGTCACATGGTATATATGTCCTTCGGAATATATAAGGATACTGAAAGGCGGTAGAATAAAGAAGAATGGAAAGTAGATACTTCAGAGACGAAGTACAAAAGGAAGAAGGCAAGGAATTGAAAACTTGGGGGATCCAGCTGGTTTATATAACCGGGGCCCCAGGCAATTCACTTGTTATCGAAAAATCTCAGTCACTGCAACTGTTTGCGTTTGCGTTTGCAGGCAGTGACTTGAAAACGGGTATATGCTTATAGCGGTGAATAAAGAAATTCAAGACCAGGAAGTGGAGTATACCAATTTTATGCGTAGAGGAATTTTGAACCCTGAAGATACGGGCTACAGCATGGCATATCCTATACATCACAGCAAAGATCAGTGAAATACCAAAAAAAGTACCAAACACCACAGTGACAGAAATTGCATGGTCAGTTAGTTAAACAGTCAGTTCAATAAAGCCTTGCTTAAACCGAGACAGATTCACGTAGCTTCCAACATTACGACTCTCGTCCCTCCCCGCCACAACCACAGAAACAAGAATATTTTCCAAGTAGAAGAAAAAATTCAGTTTAGATAACCTGTCCGGTTCATTCACAGTAGTCATGTCACCGTCGCTCTCAATCTCCCCCTTAAAGATACTTACTCGAAACGACCATGTATGTATCCAGCGAAGTAGCACCAGCCACCAACGCCTTTGCCTCTTCCTCAACCATTCCAACTTTCATCCAGCATGGCTCCAGATCAATAAACCCGCCATCCGCCAACGCATAGATGGCGCCCATCACCCAGGCCCGACAAGAAAACTTCTCTGACTCCCGTATGCTTGAAGATCGCACACATTCGTCTACCGCCGCCATCCACTCGGCGTTGACATCAGGTAGCTCGCCCACCTTGAGCGCAACCAGCATGTCCCGAGAAAGAGTAACGTCTCCGGGTTGAACTATATACCGCCATTCCGATTCATCGTTGGGCCGGAACTGCTGCAGTATTGTGCCAGTGGTGGGTGAGTTGGCGACCAGCAGGGCCCAGTGGTATTTCTCGTGTTGACCTAGTTTACTGAGGGTCAGGTAGATTCCCTTGGGCGAGAGGCGGATGCCATCGTCTGAGAGGTTTGAGGTCGAGGAACTCGGAGTGTCCATCTCTGGAGTCGCAGATGGAGTCGTAGATGTGGATTGGCAGGTTGATGCTGGCTCCGCCATGGCTCCTTATGTTGATCTTTGCTTTTGCGGGCGGTTTTGTTCCGAGCAGCTATCTGGAGGGGGTATTTAAGCCTTATCCGCGCAGCCCTGGGGATAGATCTGGACGGGTCGCTATCAGCCCAAGTAGCTCTGCTACGAGTCAGAGGTTGCTGGCCGGACGAGATACCGTCATGACCTCAACGGAGGGACATGAAGGTGAAGATGAAGATGAGACGTCGTCGGGTTTTTGTTTTGTCGATTCGGCCCTTTTTGGTTGCAAAAGTTTGGGGTAAAAGCGGGGCACGTGATGGTTTGCACTGTTTGCACTCCATTTTTGTTGCTTACAAATAAGCCTTCGGGTTATCATTAATACTTTTCCGGATTAGTCATGAAGGCAATGATTACTCATCCGGATAAGCATTAATATTTTACCGGAAGTGTATTAATAAGCAGTAAAATTGCTGTGCAAACAGTGCAATGTTACCCCCTTCAGTAAAAGGTACTCCCGAGGTTCCAAGCAGATCCTTATCACGTGTAAAACAAAAAAATAAGGTTAACCAATAGTTACAAAATTAGGTTAAGGCTTCGGCTTTAATTTTAACGAGAAACATCTCAGTATTAACGGAGAAAAGTTGACCTTGGAAGAGGAGATGATAATCTATGGATGGGAAAACCAAGGATGCTCCAACGCCTCATGTGCTGTTACCCGTTTTTGGGGGTCCAAGCTTGTCATCTTCAAGATCATGTCCTCAAACTCGGGATCGTCCATATCATTCGACCATTGTGAAAACGGCTTGTAGGGGTGATAGTCAGCCACCCGATCATCCCATAGAAATCCAAGGACTTTGCAGTGCATATAATCATCTCCAATATGTGTTATGAGCCCGTTCAGCCCCTTTCGGTCTCCAAAATATGAAACTTGGCGCTGCAAACGGATAACATAAGGAAATGCACCCTGTGCTTCATGCTTCCGCAGATCCTCGTCTGCACCAAAGATGACTTTTCTAAGCATCGCGTAGATGCACTAGTTAGTTGATTAAATAATGCTGTTAGCCATTGAATGAAATAAAGCCTGCCAACGTGACCCAATGAGACTCACTACAGCTGCAAAGGAAAATATATCGGAAGGCTTGTTGAGTTCGCCTTTTAAATGGGCTTCAGGACTTCGCCAGTTATCATTGCCAGCTAGCATTCCTTTGATGCATCTTCCCTTCGGAAGATAGGCTGCGTTTTCAAGATCAATAACCCGAACTTGCTCGATGGTCGTTTCCGGTCCAGTGCCGCTGTAGTTAACCATGATATTTTCAGGTTTGATATCTAATAGGATGGCATTTAGATCCACATTGATAACCATGGAGAGGAATATCAATCCGTTGTTTACTTACCTAAATGGACAACGTCATGGCTATGTAGGTCAGCAATACCTCGCAATCCGGCCTTTAGAACTTGCTTCCGAGTTTGTACCGATACTTGCTTTCGTACAAGGCTTAGAAGATCATCGTCCATATATCTATAGGCAAAAGTTCGCTTGTTCGGAATTGTATCACAGGGTAGCCGTAGATATGGGCTTTCATGCAGCCGCGGCCGGATGTCTTCGTTGAAACTTGAAAAGATAGCTTCCGGAATGTCCTTCAAGACGAACTTTTCTTGTCCAGACCTAGAATATCTCATGAGTCAACTAGGTATATAATCAGGGGATGGCTGTGTTCTCACGTTGCCAGCCAAACGCGGCCAAGACGAGGTCTCTCCTGGATCAATTGTTTGAGGATATAGCGGCGTCCCAGAGAACCGATCAGTTCGCCAGATGGAAGTGCCATATTCGTTTCCCTTTCGTTCAAATCACTGACTTGAAACTCGAGAGAGTGAAGAACTCAGCAAGTGTAGGTAACAACAGGCTTCTTTTCCTAGTCAAGGTAAGCTTCAAACCGTGATGGAAAATTACAATACAAATCTATGGTACTGTGACAATCAATCTAGCTAGCTGCATGAGGAGTACAGACAATCAACTAGCTATCAATTAGACCTGTAGGTAACCAATTATACAAACTATGGCATAACCATTGCACAACGAAAAAAATAAGAACATATAAGTGATCAAAAAGACTAGTTGTCGGTACATAAGAGTACGACGGCCAAAAGTAGGAGTCAATTCATAAGTCTCGTGTAGTAAATATCTATGTGTATAGGACGTATAAAGCTGACGAAGGAAGGTGTTTGGCCCAGCCAGAACGGATCCTAAGTCACGTTTGGCGAAGAAAGTAAAGAAAAAGCGTTGTGCTGGTGCTTGTGCTGGAAAGAGAGAGCGGTCTATAAAAGGGACGAAGCAATAATCAAAAGAAATATGTATGGATAACAATTTGGGAGAAGGAGAGAGGAAAACTTTTTAATCCGTTCACGTAGCCCAAAAATATGGAAATTCAAATCACACCGTATCACGCCATGCCTACCGTCATTCAAAATAATCCAACCCATTCAATTGATTAGCTGAGTTAGACACGCGGGGGCCCCTGGCCTTGTGGTCCCTGGCCTTGTCCCCTCGCTATGATAGTGGCAGGATGGACGTTGCCCTGCTGTGTCTGATTCTGGCTAGACGCACCAGGCTGGCTGTACATCTGACCCTGTGGACTAGCTGCTCTGAATGGGTTATTCGAAGGACAAACTATACATCCCCCCCGAATTCCGAACCCCTGAAACGGAATCCAGGGAGTTTGAAAGCTCATCTTTATGTTAGGATTCTGGCTTAAGCGTCTATGTCCTGTTGACGGCCCGCGGATAAGATGTTCCTGTGTAACGTTCGCTGAGGACGGGGTGCTTTCCATTGGGGGGCGGGAATTAAGGGCGCTGGCGAATGCAGCTTCAGGGTTATGTGGTGAGTAAACATTAGAAGTTGAGTTGCTTGCTGTGGAACCGCGGTATGCTAGACCGGAGATGGAAGTTACTCCTGCTGCTGCTGCGGCGGCTGGACCAGCTCCTGGGTGAGGAGACAGGGGCGCAGGGTCAGCGGAGAGAGCTTCGTCCATCTGGTCTGTTGGGATCATGCGTTTGGCTTCCTTGTTGGCTGCATACTCGTCCTTGCTGTGCTGAGCTTGTTCATGGGAGATGGAGACAGAGTATGACGGTTTGGAGATATCGCCGAGAGCGGCATCTCCACCTCCAGGACCGTAGATCGGGATCTTCTTGATGGCAAGGACCAGTGCGCACAGGAACTTGGACCTTCTGGTGGCTCGAACAACTTCGTTATGCCAGTTGGATTTGTGATGGAGTTCAATCTTGAGCTCAAGTTTATTCATATCTCCTAGACCCGTAACTTCGATGCCAACATCTGGTCCGAAATCACGGGCGTTGTCCTTGGCTCGGACAAAGGCTTGCATCTCACGCTTGAGAAGCTGGATGTCGCCGAAGGAGGTACCGAAGTCGCAGGTTAGAGTGAGCTGTTCACGCATGGCCTTGGAGCGGGTGACGTTATGGATCCATTGGGTGTTGAGTACGATGTTGGGCACCTGGATGGACTTGTGGTGCTGAATGTTTCGGAAGACTGTGAAAAGAAGGGAGATGTGCTCGACCATGAGCTCCTCGTCATTGATATGCACACGATCACCGACGTCATAAGGGTGTTTGACGAAGAGGAAGATGCATGAACCAAGGACCTCCTGGGCGGTAGCAGCGAAGACGAAAGACAGAGACAAGAGAGCAGTAGCTCCAGCAGCCAAGGTGGTGCCAAATCCCTTGTTAAGGAACGCAACGAACACGAGGATAACGAGAATGAAGACGACGGCCAAGAGCAAGTTGTCGAGGACGTTGATGGCTTGATCGACATCGTGCATGGACTTGCTCATGGATTGTCTTGCCTTGCCGAACTCGGAGACGGTCAGAATCATCTCGTCCAAGCTGATGTCGCCGTTATCGTCTCTGTCAAGAGCAGCCATGCACTCTTCCGCTTCGGTACGGTGGTCTGGCCCAAAGACATCGTACAGGTCATCAATGTACAGAGCATCTCGTCCCTGAAGCACAAACGACATCCACAGACGACGAGCCAGAGCCTCGGAAGACTTGCGTTTCTCCAGTGCCAGAATAACGATTGAATGAGCAGACGAGGAGTTAAAAACCTGCTTCCAGT